ATGGTGTCATGCAGCTAATTGTGTAATACCCCTGCTGTGTAATGACCCCTGTTTCTTCCTTTTTGATGCTTCCAGCAATCCTTATATCCCACTTTCATTTTGAAGAATGCATTACCACTTGTATACATAGCCTCACACATCTTTATTAATGAGCACACAACTTACTATCCACACTCACCCTTGTCTGTCTTGAAGTCGGCGAAATTTGAGACCATCTCTCCGATGAGGAATGAGTCTCGGAATTGGTCAAAGATGGGCTACGTATTCAACATTACTTCCATCTCACCAGCACCAACACACAGTCAAAGAAATCTACAATTTTGTACAGCTTATGCGACAATCTTCAGTGAAAATAGACGAAGGATTATGTTAAGCCACATAGGAAAATGCACGTTTCAAACACCCCAGAGACAGTGTATAAAATTAGTAGCCAAAGACCGGCATTCAAGAAACTCACACTTTTTTTTTGACGCAGCACATACACTCCACTGATGGATCAATTCATACAAGGAGGACACTGTTACCATAAGGATGTACACATGTAATGGTTGGAGAATGGCAACAAACTTTGTTGATCAACAGCATCAGCCAAAGAGATTTTTTAAGTCCATTGTTCTCCGAAAATGACCAAAGCATGAATATTCTGGCCTATAAATGCAATGACTCGACTGTGACTGTCATTTGGCTTGAATAAAAAAAAACAGCATTGCTTGCGGAAAAAACAGCAACGAAATACTCCAAAAACTGAGCTTGTAATGTTTGAAATCAAGGGTAAAAGCAGTGAAAGCGATGTCAACATTACGAATACAATGCTAAGACGAAGACGAATACAATGCTAAACATTCATGTGTTTGCAATAATACATTTTGCCTCGCAATTGTTTCGAGTACTCTGTGAGAGGGACTGTGGTGAAGTTTCATTGTGTGCACATTGATACAGAGTGATTAAGCTATTAATAAGGTTATGTATCTGCAACTAGTTAGTTATTGGTTCAGAAATAACGGTGCCTTCGTGTATATTATGCATTTCTGCACTCAGGCGTTTAATTCGCATGCCACTTTGACTGGCCTGTCACATAATATTGCTCCTTCATTATTGTAAAGACATCGTTTAGATAAGTACACAATCTACTATGTTAACTTCTTAAGAACTGATCCAATACAAACTAGCATCATTGGGGGTTAAGATGGTGGATGTCGGTACTGGTCAGAGTGGACCAGGCGATGTGGCAGTGAACTGGAGAGTGAACTGGCTTTCTGCAACTGCCATTGTCGGAACTTTACCACCAGTTGGTGCAGTGGTATTCCAATGATGTAGGTCAAAGGAACCAACCAGAGAAGGAAGACACAGAAAAAATGGTCTTTGAATTCTGCTGCAACAATTGAAGATAAACTCTCTCTAGACATAAAGGCGGAGACCAGAGCCTGCCACAGAAAGAGGTTTGCACTGATGACATTGAACGCTGAGTACTCTTCTCTGTAGGGCTGGACAATCACGACTATTGTAGCACCAATTAATGAAGTAACAGTTAAGAGAGCAAAACAAATGTCATTGAGGGAAATTGAATAAATCAAGTAACAGAAACATTTGAAGAGTACCCAGAACCCTGCAAACCACCTGCAATCCCATGTACCATTGCGGCCATCTTTGTAGTACTTCTGAAATGACTCTACGAATGTTTCCACTGTATTTCCATGTATTTGACATTTTGTGAGGCACTTTCGATAAGCCTTACACTGGTAACAGAGCAAAAGAGATGTTGGGAAAGCAATAAATACAGTGAGAATGGCAAGAGCCATCAGAGCATATGGCAGGTGTTCCTTGCCAAAGTATGTGATACTTGGATCGTAGAATAGGTTTCGTGAGTAAGGCTTCCCTTCACGTGTATAGACTTTTGTACTGATTAGGAGATCACATGACACACTCAACAGTTTAGTGGTGGAGAGGAAGAAGAATGTGACAAAGGCATCCATAATGGTGGTCTGTATACCCCAGTGACGACGAAATGGAGCAAAGAAATAGTGAAATGGCTTCCACATGTACAGATGGTGTCATGCAGCTAATTGTGTATATACCCCTGCTGTGTAATGACCCCTTGTTTCTTCCTTTTTGATGCTTCCAGCAATCCTTATATCCCACTTCATTTTGAAGAAATGCGATTTTACCACTTGTATACATAGCCTCACACATCTTGTATTAATGAGCACACCACTTACATACTCACCCTTGTCTGTCTTGAAGTCGGTGAAATTCGAGACCATCTCTCCGATGAGGAATGAGTCTCGGAATTGGTCAAAGATGGGCTACGTATTCAACATTACTTCCATCTCACCAGCACCAACACACAGTCAAAGAAATCTACAATTTTGTACAGCTTATGCGACAATCTTCAGTGAAAATAGACGAAGGATCCTGTTAAGCCACATAGGAAAATGCACGTTTCAAACACCCCAGAGACAGTGTATAAAATTAGTAGCCAAAGACCGGCATTCAAGAAACTCACACTTTTTTTTTTGACGCAGCACATACACTCCACTGATGGATCAATTTATACAAGGAGGACACTGCTACCATAAGGATGTACACATGTAATGGTTGGAGAATGGCAACAAACTTTGTTGATCAACAGCATCAGCCAAAGAGATTTTTTAAGTCCATTGTTCTCCGAAAATGACCAAAGCATGAATATTCTGGCCTATAAATGCAATGACTCGACTGTGACTGTCATTTGGCTTGAATAAAAAAAAACAGCATTGCTTGCGGAAAAAACAGCAACGAAATACTCCAAAAACTGAGCTTGTAATGTTTGAAATCAAGGGTAAAAGCAGTGAAAGTGATGTCAACATTACGAATACAATGCTAAGACGAAGACGAATACAATGCTAAACATTCATGTGTTTGCAATAATACATTTTGCCTTGCAATTGTTTCGAGTACTCTGTGAGAGGGACTGTGACGAAGTTTCATTGTGTGCACATTGATACAGAGTGATTAAGCTATTAATAAGGTTATGTATCTGCAACTAGTTAGTTATTGGTTCAGAAATAACGGTGCCTTCGTGTATATTGTGCATTTCTGCACTCAGGCGTTTAATTCGCATGCCACTTTGACTGGCCTGTCACATAATATTGCTCCTTCATTATTGTAAAGACATCGTTTAGATAAGTACACAATCTACTATGTTAACTTCTTAAGAACTGATCCAATACAAACTAGCATCATTGGGGGTTAAGATGGTGGATGTCGGTACTGGTCAGAGTGGACCAGACGATGTGGCAGTGAACTAGTGAGTGAGCTGGCTTTCTGCAACTGCCATTGTCGGAACTTTACCACCAGTTTGTGCAGTGGTATTCCAATGATGTAGGTCAAAGGAACCAACCAGAGAAGGAAGACACAGAAAAAATGGTCTTTGAATTCTGCTGCAACAATTGCAGATAAACTCTCTCTTGACATAAAGGCGCAGACCAGTGCCTGCCACAGAAAGAGGTTTGCACTGATGACATTGAACGCTGAGTACTCTTCTCTGTAGGGCTGGACAATCACGACTATTGTAGCACCAATTAATGAAGTAACAGTTAAGAGAGCAAAACAAATGTCATTGAGGGAAATTGAATAAATCAAGTAACAGAAACATTTGAAGAGTACCCAGAACCCTGCAAACCACCTGCAATCCCATGTACCATTGCGGCCATCTTTGTAGTACTTCTGAAATGACTCTACGAATGTTTCCACTGTATTTCCATGTATTTGACATTTAGTGAGGCACTTTCGATAAGCCTTACACTGGTAACAGAGCAAAAGAGATGTTGGGAAAGCAATAAATACAGTGAGAATGGCAAGAGCCATCAGAGCATATGGCAGGTGTTCCTTGCCAAAGTATGTGATACTTGGATCGTAGAATAGGTTTCGTGAGTAAGGCTTCCCTTCACGTGTATAGACTTTTGTACTGATTAGGAGATCACATGACACACTCAACAGTTTAGTGGTGGAGAGGAAGAAGAATGTGACAAAGGCATCCATAATGGTGGTCTGTATACCCCAGTGACGACGAAATCGAGCAAAGAAATAGTGAAAGGGCTTCCACATGCACCGCAATGGTCTAAACTCAAAGCCATATAATTCAACCATAGCGTATAAAGCAGCCATTAGCAGCATAGGATAGATAGCTATAAGATAGTCCAATACCAGGATGTGAAGAGGAATGACATCGATACAAACATCGGGTAAGACGTTAACTCGAACAAAGTCCAGATTCCAAATTCCATAGTTTGATAAGACCATTGCTACAGGAACTGTATGCAACGCAGGACTCTTCTTCTGTGATAGATAATAGAGGATCACCTTCACTTGTGCAGGAGTTGAAATAGTCTGGGCAGCATAGACATACATATAGAGCTTTGGGGAAAGCACATTGATCCTGAAGACTAAAATTATGACAATGAAGACTGTGAGAGGGAGAAAGGCAAAGACTATGTAGAGTCCCCAGTTTTCCAGTTTCACTGTCACATCTGATGCATTTAAACTCATAGGAATATGCTGGCACAGTGTAGCCATCAAGACACTGTCCACAGAGTGTTCCTTGTCTGTTCAGACTAGCACAGTCAGATGGTGCACTGTGGTAGATGTTCGCATAGCCACTTCGTGTGTGATTGACACAGTTGAACACACATCCTCCAACTACAGGGAACATTGGTTCTCCCTCACTACTGTATTGATACGTGATGCAGTAACAATCCATGATAGCTAGGTCTTTGGTAACTGGATCACACAACACAATCTCATTCAAATCACTTCCACATTCACATGTCCCATTATTGGGTACAAACCAGATATTGACATCAGAGCACTTTTGATCAGTACCTCTGTCCCCATCATCTGAAGTGTTAGGAGGCGATATCTTGTTGTTCAATTTCACTAATGAATGCTGGGAAGAAAGATGCTTGTTCTTAGACAATGCTTCTCCATACTTGGATTCTTCTCCTTGTATTCTTTTTTCTGCCATTTTCCCCATTTGCCTTTGCACATGTTCCACTCTCGTTGCATTCTCGATTACTCCATCAGTATGTTCATCGTCTTCTCCGGTTTCACAAACAATGCACGAAATGAGTACCAAAAGAAGCATACAAGAGAAGTTGACCGTCATATTTTGTCATTCACACTTCAAGAACTGCTGCTTGCGATGATAAGGTAACATGCTATGTGTTGGTGTTGAGGGGGAAATATCCTAAGAAAACTTTCAGTACAACTGGCAATTTCCTACTTCGCTGTGTATACAGCTATTATTAAACAACACAACATTTCCTGGTTTGTGTGACAAAATGAAACTAGACCCTCGAACCCTTTGGACGGCATGTGTACATTTGCTTAAGTAAGCAGAAAATGATGTATTAAGTATTAGCGCCTAGTATTATAATCCCCATATAAATTTATTGTAGAGAGGCTGCAAACACATTTATCTGTCCGTGGCTGGTTAAGTGTTAAATGGGAATGTAGGGAATTTCACTTCATGAGAAACAGGATCATATCTACACCAACACAGAAAGTCATTCATAATCCATATTCATCTTAGTTTTTCTGTAAAAAAGGTAGGGATGAGGGTTATGAATATCAGTGTATAGCCAAGTACATGTGATGCCAAGAGAAAAAAGATGCGGAGCTCTGCTGTTTCGGGCTTGTTAGCCCTCATCAGCAAAGCATACCGCAACTTGGCATCACGAGTTTATAAAGGCAAAGTTGAGCGCAGCACTTGTGGTTTTGAACTAATGAGATTCATCCCCACAAGGCTTTGCTCAGGTGCAGCGCTTGTGGTTCTGAACTAATGAGATTTATCCCCACAAGGCGTTGCCAGTAACGAGCCAAAACCCGAATTCAGCATGCTGACATAGTGGATTGGGCCGTGGCAATGAAGCCAGCAAGCACCCATATCCTGCCAGCCCATACACATGTAACAATAGACCATGTCTTACTGTTCCCCTTTCATGACCTCCTATAATAGCAACATGTGTTATGACAGCATATGGTAGTGTGTTTCATTCCACCTTCAGCTTCAACTTAAACATGGCTTCCATTCTACACCATCTTTTAAACTGCGTCTTGCCTCAAATTATAGTGGAACACAGGGAAAGAAGGATATACATATCACGTTGGAAAGGGACAGGAAGATGGCCATAAAAAGTTAATTATAACAACATCATTCCCGTCAGCTTTGTTTCTTGTAGCTAGTAGTATGAAGATCCCCATAGCAAAAACAGTGATATTCAGTGTACACAACTCCCTCATGTATCCACTGTTGGTACCACAACAATAGTGACATAAAGTGAACACAACTCACTCATTTATCCACTATTGGTACCACAAATATGTTGCTAGATGCTAGAAAAAATGACTAGCGACAAAGTAAAATTGTGCAAACTGCATCTCTAGCCCGTTTTTAATACTTGAAAGCTTTGTTTTATTTCCTGCCAGCCCAGTTGAAAACATTATGGCCAAGTTTTGCAAACTGTATATATGGAAAACATATTCATCAGTAAAATAAGTTGTGCATGTGATAAAAGAACAATGTTTATGTGTTGAATACAAAGTCTTATCAACCCTCTCAGTACTGGTCGCATGCTATCTAGCTACCATTCGCGAGCGGGAGCGACCCAACTTGGGATTTTCCCGAGGATTTGCCCGGGCTGTATAACGTGCCGTCAGCGCACAGCTTTCCTTTCAAGAAGCAAGACAGATCTACCTGTCGCCGTTATATGCGTATTGTACATTTGGCAGAACCGTGAGCAGGTGGGCAGACGGTACTGGTATTGAAGTCGTCAGTCGTGGTCCACCAGGCAGCTGGCATGCAGCAGTACGTGCACGAGCAATCCTAGGCGTAGTTGCAAGTTGCAGCTTGGAACCATGAAGATTGGGAAGAGGTACAGCCTTGGTCAGTCACAGAAGGTTGCAGCGCATGCCGTCGAATGGAGAAGAGTTCTCTAGCTGGCTAGATCGTCGATCCGCGAGGCACCGTGTTTGAAAATGCGTAAAAATTTTGAAATAGTTTCGGATAAAAAGAAGCGCGTACAAAGCCACGGTCAGTCAGGTTGCAGCGCATGCCGTCGAATGGAGGATAGTTCTCTCGCGGGCGCGGGCTAGACCGATCAGCGCATATGGCGAGGCAGTGAAAAAGAAGCGCGAAGAAAGAAGTAGCGCGGATAAAAAGAAGCACATACAAGGCCGCGCATACGCGACGTACGACTATAAATATACAGAAAAATTCCGCTCGAACGAACGACTCGCTCCCGCTCGCCAATAATTATTGCTCCTTCATTATTATAAAGACATCGTTCAGATAAGTACACAATCTACTATGATTAACTTGTTAAGAACTGATCCAATACAAACTAGCTACGAAGCATCTTCATTGGGGGTTAAGATGGTGGATGTCGGTACTGGTCAGAGTGGACCAGACGATGTGGCAGTGAACTGGTGAGTGAACTGGCTTTCTGCAACTGCCATTGTCGGAGCTTTACCACAAGTTTGTGCAGTGGTATTCCAATGATGTAGGTCAAAGGAACCAACCAGAGAAAGAAGACACAGAAAAAATGGTCTTTGAATTCTGCAGCAACAATTGCAGACAAACTCTCTCTTGACATAAAGGCGCAGACCAGTGCCTGCCAGAGAAAGAGGTTTGCACTGATGACATTGAACGCTGAGTACTCTTCTCTGTAGGGCTGGACAATCACGACTATTGTAGCACCAATTATTGCAGTAACAGTTAAGAAAACCAAACTTATGTCTGTGAGGGAAATTGAATAATTCAAGTAACAGAAACATTTGAAGAGTACCCAGAACCCTGCAAACCACCTGCAATCCCATGTACCATTGCTGCCATCTTTGTAGTACTTCTGAAATGACTCTACGAAGGTTTCCACTATATTTCCATGTATTTGACATTTAGTGAGGCACTTTCGATAAACCTTACACTGGTAACAGAGCAAAAGGGATGTTGGGAAAGCAATAAACACAGTGAGAATGGCAAGAGCCATCAGAGCATATGGCAGGTGTTCCTTGCCAAAGTATGTGATACTTGGATCGTAGAATAGGTTTCGTGAGTAAGGCTTCCCTTCACGTGTATAGACTTTTGTACTGATTAGGAGATCACATGACACACTCAACAGTTTAGTGGTGGAGAGGAAGAAGAATGTGACAAAGGCATCCATAATGGTGGTCTGTATACCCCAGTGACGACGAAATCGAGCAAAGAAATAGTGAAAGGGCTTCCACATGCACCGCAATGGTCTAAACTCAAAGCCATATAATTCAACCATAGCGTATAAAGCAGCCATTAGCAGCATAGGATAGATAGCTATAAGATAGTCCAATACCAGGATGTGAAGAGGAATGACATCGATACAAACATCGGGTAAGACGTTAACTCGAACAAAGTCCAGATTCCAAATTCCATAGTTTGATAAGACCATTGCTGCAGGAACTGTATGCAATGCAGGACTCTTCTTCTGTGATAGATAATAGAGGATCACCTTCACTTGTGCAGGAATTGATAGACACTGTGCAGCATAGACATACATATAGAGCTTTGGGGAAAGCACATTGATCCTGAAGACTAAAATTATGACAATGAAGAGTGTGAGAGGGAGAAAGGCAAAGACTATGTAGAGTCCCCAGTTTTCCAGTTCTCTGTCACATCTGATGCATTTAAACTCATAGGAATATGCTGGCACAGTGTAGCCATCCAGACACTGTCCACAGAGTGTTCCTTGTCTGTTCAGACTAGCACAGTCAGATGGTGCACTGTGGTAGATGTTCGCATAGCCACTTCGTGTGTGATTGACGCAGTTGAACACACATCCTCCAACTACAGGGAACATTGGTTCTCCCTCACTACTGTATTGATATGTGATGCAGTAACAATCCATGATAGCTAGGTCTTTGGTAACTGGATCACACAACACAATCTCATTCAAATCACTTCCACATTCACATGTCCCATTATTGGGTACAAACCAGATATTGACATCAGAGCACTTTTGATCAGTACCTCTTCCCTCATCATCAGAAATGTTAGGAGGCGAAACCTTGTTGTTCAATTTCCCTAATGAATGCTGGGAAGAAAGATGCTTGTTCTTAGACAATGCTTCTCCATACTTGGATTCTTCTCCTTGTATTCTTTTCTCTGCCATTTTCCCCATTTGTGTTTGCTCATGTTCCACTCTCGTTGCATTCTTGATTACCCTATCAGTATGCTCATCGTTTCCTCTGGTTTCACAAACATTGTGTGAAATGAGGACAAAAAGAAGCATACAAGGGAAGTTGATCATCATTTTTGTCCTCCACACTTCAAGAACTACTGCTTGCGATGAGGTGACGGTAGCAACTCTGTACTATAAAGTAAACTTTGAGTACAACTGGCAATATCCTACTTTGCTGTGTATACAGCTATAATAATACAGAAAAATTCCTGCTTTGTGTGACAAAATGAAACAGACTGCCGTTGAACCCTTTGGATGCCATGGGTATCTGCTTAAATAAGCAGAAAATGATGTATAAAGTATTAGCGCCTACAACCCCATATAAATTCTTGTGGACTTATGGAGGATGCCGACACATATGTCCGTGGCTGGTGAAATGCTAAATTTGAATGTAGGGAATTTCACTTCATGAGAAACAGGACCATATCTACACCAACACAGAAAGCCATTCATAACCCAAATTCATCTTTGTTTTTCCTTAGGGATGAGGGTTATGAATGATTCTGTTTCAGTGTATAGGCATGTCTTACTGTTCCACTTTCATGACCTCCTATAATAGCAACATGTGTTATGACAGCATATGGTAGTGTGTTTCATTCCACCTTCAGCTTCAACTTAAACATGGCTTCCATTCTACACCATCTTTACTGCGTCTTGCCTCAAATAATAGGGAAAGAAGGGTATAAATATCACGTTGGAAGGGGACAGGAAGATGCTGATAAAAAGTTAATTATAACAACATCAATCCTTCAGCTTTGTTTCTTGTGGTAGTAAGATCCCCATAGCAAAAACAGTGACACACAGTGTACACAGCTGACTCATTTATCCACTGTTGGTACCACAACTATGTTGCTAGATCCTAGAAAAAAGACTAGCGACAAAGTGAAATTGTGAAAGCTGCATCTCTAGCCCGTTTTTAATACTTGAAAGCTTTGTTTTATTTCCTGCCAGCCAAGTTCAAAACATATTATGGCAAGTTTTGCAATGGAAAGCCTCTTCATCAGTAAAATAAAACCTTGAGAGTCGTTCATGTGATAAAAAACGATGTAGGTTTAATTATGTGTTGAATACAAGAACTACTAGGAATGCGCACACGCATATTTTGCCTCGCGCCTGCCAGGCAATGCGTAAACAGTCCGACTGAGGCCGCTCGTGCGCGCGAAGCCAGACTTCCTGCGAATCTGCGCGCACGGCGGAAATTGACATTCCTAAGCGTGACTATTTGACATTCCCTAAGCGTGACTAATAATTGAAGCGTGACTAATTGACATTCTTAAGCGTGACGGACACGTACGTACGTTTATACGAAAATACAACCCGATGGTAAACAAAATTGTGGCAAAGAGGGAAAACATTGGCGTAGGAGCTAGAGAGTAAATAACGTATCCTGTGGATTTCATAAAAATAAAAAAACCAGCAAACCACCTGCAATCTCATGTACCATTGCTGCCATCTTTGTAGTTTGCTCTCCAGATAGTCTTCGACAGAGTCAGTTACCATGATCTTCCAGCCAACGTTATGGTGGGTGAGCACTGCAAGAGTGGACGCATAGGGAAAGGTATATACTTTGTCAGTAAAGATCAGGGTTGCATTACAAAGGGCAAATGAGAACTTTTGGGAGGTTTTACAGAGGATGACACTTGCATCATGCTCTGTGAAATGCGTTAGTATCTCTTGCACTTGTAAGTGTCTACTAACAAATACCTTCACAAGTACATGATCATGACTAGGGTGCCGTTTATATATGAAACTGAAGCAGTACCTGACATAGCAAACATTGCCATGAGGTAGCTAACACGTGTATATAAAACCTGAAGCATATTCCTCTTTGAACTATACTGCCTGTATTTGCTTATGGCTACTGTTTATGGATCCTAGCTACATTGCCGTAAACAACACCCCGCTACTAAGTCTTTCTCTCTCTGACTCTCTCTCTCATATTAAGTACAAATTAGATGTAATATCATTGGGGGCTCCACACAGTGACAGACAGACACACAGTACCTGGTAGAAGACGACGTCGGGGGTCTCATTGTCTGGGGTCCAGTAAAGGTATTGTCGCTCCCTTTGGCGAGAGAGTCTTTGCAGTCTGAGCTGGGAGGATCGAGGGCCTCCTCGTAGTTGCAGAGTAGAGCTTTGCAGAGGTCTGCCAGAGCCTCTGCCTCAGGAGTACTGGTGAACTCACACAACGGAGACAACAGGAATTCTATTATAGTCGCTAGCGTGTAGTCCAATAGAAGTTCAAACCTCCAATGGGCGTAGTGCCGTTGTTCTCAACACCTGCATAGATCATCTCCATGCATCTGCAATGAAAAATGTTGACTTTTATAATAAAGAATGGTCACACAATCACATCCGCAGTCATGCGTGCTTTTACAGCTCATAAACACATGAGCTATACTGTAGACACCTGAAGGTGGATTTTTGAAACCGAGCTAAATAGAAAAATGTACTCCACTCAATCCAGTTCGAGGCCTAAGCTCAATAAATGGGCATAACAAACACACTGACAACTGCTGTACCGTGGACATCATAAACCAAGTGTTTCACAATAATTATTATTGAGTACTTGCTTATGCACAAGGCTTTTGCCACAAACCGCTTGCACTATACTACTCACAGCTTTCTCCTGTTCCTCCATGAAGACTCTGCCACCAGTGATGGAGTTGGTGATGTAGAGAGGACGGTCGTTGGTGTTCATGTTTGGATCATCTCCTCCGTAGACGACAAACGTGTACGTCTTTCCTCTCTGGACTACCGGTGTCGTTATGAGGGTGTCATTGATGTACCAGGCTAAACCTCAGCCTGCACGACCTTCACAGCAACAACATTAGCAGATTAGGAGTAATGACAGGACACAGGAAGATGAAACACGAGTATATGCACCGCAGCACATTGTGTAAAGTATAAGAAAAAGACAAGTTCTTGCCCATACGTGTACGCTCATAAGGCTTTCACCTTTCGTTTTGTCAATGAACCAACACTCTAGCTGAGATTATGTGTGGGGTGGACTAAAAAAGAGCTATAATACAGGACTCACTAGTACTTTTGTGAACCAGCCACACATTGCTAGTGCATAGCTATGTGTCACAATGCAGTGTTTTGTGAGACTAGACTCACCAGTGATGCCCATATATCCCCTCTGGTCACCGGAGGGGCCGATGTGAGCCACAAAGGTGGCGTTGTAGTCAGCCACCAGCAGAGTCTGGGTCTCATAAGCATCGCCGGGGCTACACACCAAATGCTCGCACGTTCAGGACGGCTGACGGCCGAGATGTAGCGGTGGATCACCACCTGCAGACCTGACATACAGAATAATGTGAAAATTTGCAGCTAGATGCTACATTGCGAGTAGTCTTCTGCTAATGTTGGTGTATCACTAAGTACGGTAGTACTTAGTACAATTGGAAAAATCATTTCTCCAAAATGAAAGGGGGATAAAGGGATGGCTTGAAGCAAAGTTGCACAAAGCTACATGATACCATCCCTATACCTTTGTTTTATTGTTTATAAGCACAGTTTAATATCGAACAAAGATATAGGGATGGTGTCATGTAGCTTTGTGCAACTTTGCTGTGTAGCTAATGACCCCTTGTTTCTTCCTTTTTGGTGCTTCAAGCCATCCCTATATAACCCTTTCATTTTGAAGAAATGATTTTTCCACTTGTACTAAGTACTACCGTACTTAGTGATACACCAACATTTCCAGAGGACTCCTCGCAATGTAGCATCTACCTACAAAACCGTAAGTATTGGATGGCGAAAGAGAGGGAAATTACAGAAGGTCATCAATGATGCTAAGGTGCAGACTCCCCTTCAGATGATGCATGGTTCGTAAGGTGTTTTCTCTGATACAAGACAATGTTGACATTACTTTAAAGACTCTTTCCTCGTTATGTGATACTCAATGTGGACACTATCATGCACATTCATAACCATGTGTTTACTATGCAGAAACACCTTGGTATGCCTGTGCAGCTCTACTGTAGTATAGGAAAACTATGGCATTCCATTTGGTATTTAATATCTTGAACAACAGTGGGAAGGCACCTTTGTTAGATGGCTCTGTAGAGGGTAAGAGTATAATAAGCGATGAATAAACTGGGCCACAATCTGCCAATATGTTTTTGGCTGACTGATCTTTCTCCCTTCTAGTTATCCACCGTTAAGTTTTTGCACTGAAGATGCATACATCGCGAGAACTATGTCAATCCCAGTTACTGGATGTTTGATTTATCAGGGATGTTCAAAATAGCTCTTGTGCGACCATAGGCAACTAAATTGAGCACTCTTCAGAATTGAAAACACCTTAATTATGGTATTGTACAAAAATGAAGCAATCATAGATCCAGACGAAAATGTTTCAGTTGAAATAGCATATAAACTTTGGCATCACTGCAGCGGTAGTTGACGGCTGGCTTCACACACACTTTGTACCTTTTTGTGCCCCCCTCACTGTACTCTTTGACACAGAGGTAGCCGTTGCGAGGGCTGTGTGTGCATCTGATGTAGTAGGCCTCTCTCCCCTTCCGCCACTGTTTCGTATGGCAGGACATCTTTGGCTCGATTCTCTCCTTCAGCAGAAGTCGAACGTTTTCCAGCCGGGAGCTTTTTCGCATGTGCACAGTGCTTCTCTTTCGGATGGAATTGAATGTTGTTTCGAGGTAGTATTCAAGTGGTTGTAGAGTGCCGAAGGCATGTGCGCCAGAATCTTGACATTCGTTTTGCTCGTCTTGCTTCTTCTTCCTGTACCTCGGAAACGAACTGGTGATAGAAAATTCAAACCGGTTTGTAGAGGCCGAGTCGTCAAACACTTTCACCGTGAACCCCTCTGCGTCTTTGAAGTTCACCGTTCCTGTGAGCATTCTCTCGTTGGCATGATCGACTGTGATGTACTTCGGATCATCAATATCGTCACCAAACGTAATCCAGTAGGGTCCACCTCCTGCATGATAATAATTAATGTACTAAACATTATGTGGTGGCTGTTATAAAACAATAAAGTTTTATATTGCTACCTATATAGTCAAGTACTCTGCATGCTACGTACCCGTCGAAGCTTCCATGACGTACTTGTCAATGCTCTGCCTAAGAGCATGCTGCAAGTAGGGCATTTTGAGGAGACCACTGATTGGGTAGAGGGAGCAACCGATCACCGCCTCCTCCATGACCTTGTCGTCCCTCATCACTCCAATCTTTTCATCTCGTAGTTTTTGCTTCTTTCAGCCCTTGCGATCTTTTGAGTTGTCGAAGCTTCTGCGCCACCATATGTTGCGGCTGTCACTGAGGCCTTCGAGCTCACCTTTGCCTGGTGGACAAATTCCTTCCACGTTAGCTCTCGGTATTCCAAAGCTCCCAGCTCGATGGCGCTCACGTAGTGAGTGATTTTGAATTCTTGCACAAAGTGGTCGAGATATTTCTGAATCTCTTCAAAGAGTTTGTCTCCCTCAGGTGGTTCTCCATCCAGTGCGTGAATGTGGATCAACTCCTGAAGACTTCCACGTTGTGGTGGGGTAGCTGAGGCGTTGGAGGCAGTGCAGTAACCACGAACATAACCTCTCTTCGAATGTCGCTCCAAAATGCATCGTAACAGGATGTATTTTTTGCTTAACCTCTTCTGCATCAAACACAGGCGGACTTGATGGTAGACTGCGGAGCATAATTGATCCTGCTGCAGATTTGTGATCGGGTTCCGGCGGCGCAGCCGACTCACTAAGCCTAAATCGCGGGTTTAGATGCTTCAGACCCATGATCGATGGGAATCACGTTGCTGCGGAGGCCATTCTTCAGACTTTGCCGATCGGACACCAAGGCTCTTGATTTCGTATACATTCTCGACACTCCCAAACGTTTTCGACCTGCCGTTGTCTCTGAGGGACGGACGTTTTTGATCGACGGCGTCTCTCTTTGCTTCGGCCACGGTCTTTGCTAGCGACGCCGGAACGTCCGCAAAATTGACACCGAAGGAAATGGTCCTCGTCTTTATTTTCTTTCCAGACACGTACTTTGCGGACAGAGCAGAGCGCGTGTATTCCACGTCCATTCGGACGGACAGCGGCGTGTTGGCCGGCTTGACTCCAGCCTGCTACTTCACTATTCACGGTCGTTCGACTCTGCGTATTCTTCGCTGTAAGCTTTCAGCAGTCCGCCCTCCTTCGTTTCGATTATGATATCATCAGAGGTAACGTCTACTTCCCGCACATGAAACGATGACTTCTCGACCCATGGTTTCTGCTTCGTGATATCGACTCCACGTCCAAGACCCCAGCTAGCGTAATCCCCCGGTTTGATTTCCATAGTACAAACCTTTTCTTTAGTTACCGCGGAGCCTTTCTCCTCGGACTCCTTTTCGGAACCTTTCTCCGAGCTCTTTTCTTTGTCTTCCTCGGGTTCCTTTTCTTTTTTCGGCATGATGGCTGTTCCACGCTCGGTTCCAAGCAGCTGTTTGAGAAACGGCAACATTCGGCAGTGGGTGGGCTTCATGCGCACGCGCATTCCCACGCGCGGGACAAAAAAAACGACTGATGACTGCACAGGCGTTCCCAATCACAGTTTATTTTTGTTTTTTCACACTCAATCAACATTTTAGTGTATCCTGGGACGTTTCCTAAATGCACGAACATTAGTGAAACTGGAACATGCATAATTATAATTATAGCTACTTAAATGAATATTTCAGGAGCGTCACTCATTCGGAGGTATATAATACAAGTGGAAAAATCATTTCTTCAAAATGAAAGGGGGATATAGGGATGGCTTGAAGCACCAAAAAGGAAGAAACAAGGGGTCATTACACAGCAAAGATGCACAAAGCTACATGACACCATCCCTATATCTTTGTGTTATTGTTCACAACCAATCTCGCCCTGCTGACATTTTCCTCCCTAATTGGGAAAGAGCTGCGCTTGCCGTCTCCGTCATTTCCACTCTGCAACAGTTTACCTTGAAGTAAAGTTTAATATGAGACAAAGATATAGGGATGGTGTCATGTAGCTTTGTGCATCTTTGCTGTGTAATGACCCCTTGTTTCTTCCTTTTTGGTGCTTCAAGCCATCCCTATATCCCCCTTTCATTTTGAAGAAATGATTTTTCCACTTGTACATGTACACTGAAGTTGAAATCCTAAGTGTCTTGCGCAATGAATTCGGCCATTAGAATGGTTTTGGGTTTTACTCTAACCTCTAGTACTGTTCCCATATAATGTAATGTGTATTGAACTACCAATAGCTGTTCCTTCTGTTCTTTCTTAGTAAACCCTGAAGAACAATCTAGAAAACCTAAGTTCCCCCACATTGCTTTCTCAGTCCCTTCTCCGGTGAAATTGGAGACCTTCAGTGAAAAAATCAGTGCTTGAACTGGTGCTTGTAAGGAGATAGCGGGTTTAAAGAAGAAGAAGAAGAAGATGAATATGATGACACGAAAATCGTGAAATCTCGTATGAGCGAATTCTCGCGTGGACGACTGAAGGTGCGTAGCTATGTGGTCTTGGGGAACATGTATAGGTGGATATAATATGTTTTGAAGGCCTAGGGAGTGATTCTCACCGAGTTTTTAGTCGTTTTGTACGCGGATCACGTGAGATTTCACCCGTGTCATAGCTACCTATATAGAGAGTACCGTCTCTCTAATATACACCGGTGGTCCTGCATTATGCCCATACATTTGAGATTTTCATGTTTCACTTTCTATTTCAATCAGATCCAACTTTTGACATATGAGACTGATCCGTATTGTAACAAAGAGCATGTATCCAAGAAATAGCTTAAATCACATAATAGGTATAATATATATACTTGATAAGTCACTTTTCAATTTTCTTATTCTTCTTCTTGTTGTTGTTGCTGCTGTTGTTGTTCAGTTTAGACAAGCGTATCTCAAAAAACCGGGTAAGATATGGAGATGAACTGGGGGAGTGGCAGCACGGGTCGCGGCAGAGTAGATATATACGACGGAGGCGGGGACGTATATAGGAGCTGGGAAATGCGGCCTACGTTGCAGCTTCGTCTTCAAACCTGCATGCAGAATGCGTAGTACTTGGGCGTCTCTCCCAGCGCGCGCCTATATAGTGACGTAATATTTATGCGCATGCGCCTGTACTATCCTGGCGAATGCTAACAGTATGCGTTTCTTTTACGGTGAACTCGGAGGAGCTTGTGAGAGTGGAGAAGAGCAACCCACCCCTCATTTGAGTGGAGGAGAACTTCACACCCATCTCATTTGGCTACACCTTCTACTCATTTTGGGATAGCGCGCAAGTTATTTATCGCCCAAAGTATATACCACCGTTGTATTTATTTCAGTGGTATACCTGAATAGTACAGCACTATAATATCTCGTACCCATCCCAAAGAAGGCGAAAGGCGTATAAAAAGAAATGTTACGAGCAGAACAAGGAGAAGAGTACAAAAGTGCCTGCTGCTTCAAGGGAAGAGAAGAACAAAGCAGCATATTTGGCACATGCAAAGATCATACGGCATTCTCGCACAAAGCGCTATTCACTTCTTTCTGAACAAGAGAAAGAAGCAAGAATAGCACGTTATTCCTCTGAAGCAGAGAATGAGAGAACTGCTCGTAGGGAGCGTTACCAGTCAGAGTCTGGTAAAGAGAGAACTGCTCGTAGGGAGCGTTACCATGCAGTCAGAGCCTGGTAAAGAGAGAACTGCTCGTAGGGAGTGTTACCAGTCAGAGCCTGGTAAAGAGAGAACTGCTCGTAGGGAGCGTTACCAGTCAGAGTCTGGTAAAGAGAGAACTGCTCGTAGGGAGCGTTACCAGTCAGAGCCTGGTAAAGAGAGAACTGCTCGTAGGGAGCGTTACCAGTCAGAGCCTGGTAAAGAGAGAACTGCTCGTAGGGAGCGTTACCAGTCAGAGCCTGGTAAAGAGAGAACTGCTCGTAGGGAGCGTTACCAGTCAGAGCCTGGTAAAGAGAGAACTGCTCGTAGGGAGCGTTACCAGTCAGAGCCTGGTAAAGAGAGAACTGCTCGTAGGGAGCGTTACCAGTCAGAGCCTGGTAAAGAGAGAACTGCTCGTAGGGAGCGTTACCAGTCAGAGCCTGGTAAAGAGAGAACTGCTCGTAGGGAGCGTTACCAGTCAGAGCCTGGTAAAGAGAGAACTGCTCGTAGGGAGCGTTACCAGTTAGAGCCAGCAAGGGAAAACTGGCAGAAAAGAAACGATATCAGGCTCATTCCAAGCAAAAAAAGAAGCTGAAAACAGAAGGTACCAGGCTCATTCTGAACAAAAAAGAACCGCTGAAAGAGCCCGGTACAGATCCCAATCAGAGAAAAAGAAAACTGCGGAGCGATCGCGGTACGAAATTCACTGCTCAAATATTCTCTCAAACCGACGCCAAGCCTACTACCACAAACGTGCCTCAAAGCTTGTGTGTCGTGCTTCGCAGATGAAAAAGACAGCAAGAGCTAATCATTCTCGCTATTCATTTGGTGGAATGCACATAAAGTGCATAGCTGACTAGACATGTCGCTGCTATCTCTAACTCTTTATCTGCCTTGGTTTGTATCTCTCTCTCCATGTCTGTCCCTGTGTTTTCTCACTATCTCATGATTCATGCGAAATAGCAAGTAAACAAGCAGCTGCCCTAATTGCAGCTGCCATCTTAGATAAATAGTGCCATAATGCAGCTGTCCCTGTCCCTAGATCAACGCGACATATATGCTACCGATATGGCTTCCCCTTACGGTTAGCAAAACTTTTAAGTGCTCCTAGATTATCTTTGTTCTACACCGCAGGATGGAAAACTACGGAGGAAGAAGCTAACGAAATAAGTAAGTTTGCACAGTAAGTAGCTAAGTGTGTCCAGTCAGTCAGGTTCACATTTTTTTCTCTCTAGCAAAAACTCCCACTCCCTCCCCGGATCAAGGTGAATATATAAAGGTATTCAGCTATGCCGTACTCCCCCATTTCGAGGAGTAAGAGTCTCTCTCTCTCTCTCTCTCTCTGGTTTTCCACCTGCAGATCATCCTCCAAAGAGAAACTGTAAGTTAATGCATATTTCTCATTTCTCCCTCCAGCTGACACTCCCCTTCTGGAGTGTGTGGGTGAGTTTATGCACAGTTGTATATGCACTTTCTTCAACCCTTTTCTCCAACTCTTCATCGGACTGGCTAGAGTAAGTTTATGCATAATATTTACACATTTATGCACTCCCCCCATTACTTT